CCAGCGCCCTGATGCGTAGTGGCACACATAGGCTTCATCTGAAGACGAGCTGGGTGAACTCTTCCCACACCTGCTGACATGAATCCCAAGCAAATAATTATTTCAAAGAAAAAAAAAACATACAAAAAACAACAGACACTGTTAAATATCTACAACTGTGGTCAGAAACAGATTGAATACACTCGGTAAGAGAGGCCGAGAGCTCCTCTCTGCTCTCCTGGTATAGAAGCATGATTGCAGGCTCAATGACTGGACAAGGGGTCATGTTGCAGACAGCTGGTTCTAAAGGAGAGCTCACTGTGGTTGTTATGAACTGGAGTCGTTACTGTATAAAAACACTGAGACACCGAGCTTGTCTATATCACCTGCCCAGCACCGGGCAATGAAAGAATAAATTATATTTACAAAAGCCAAAGATTTCTCGAGATTTTAAAACGCCCCTCCCCCCTTTTAATGTCAGACTTAACTTTTTATGTTTCATTATGGCTTCAAACTGCCAACATGGTAAAATGGCGCCCCCTATATCTGGAAAATATAAAAAAGTATACTGTTGCTCACATGCTGATTGAGAAACATTAAACACAGCTAACCAGAGCTCTGTGTGACAGCAAGTCTGTTAGCCATGAGCCCTATGCCTGTAGTTTTGTATGTACGCACACACTCTTACACAGCACTAAGGAAACCGTGCTCAGAAAATGACCTGTTCACTGTGCTCATTTTAACGACTCAACCCACCAAAAAAAAGTTAACTGCTGCCCAAGTGCGTAGTTTGCTACCAATAGCCGCAACTCGGTAATCTTAGCACCACCTTCTAGACCACTGACTAGTATCAGGGAGAAACAAGTAAATCCAGTCCGATATTGTACCCTGATCCACTCCAGGTTTTGCACTGAGCTGCAGGGTGCAAGTTTAACCAAATATAAACGAAAAGCAAATATTCAAATGATGTTCACACTCGACAGAGTGGCTGGAGTTATGGGCTTGAGAGTAAAATGTCAATAACCTGGGAAAACAGTGTAATGAAACTAGGAGTGGAACAAGCTTGTGTAATAGGAGCCTGACCTGCTCCTCTCTGATAAACTCTCCTGACAAAGCCATTCCCCTCGAGTGCACTGGTCAAGCCCTCCGCGGCAACATCCTGACTCTGTCCCTCTCCTGTCGCAATAACCAAGAATGACCATCCCACCTGCAGTCGAGAGTTCGATGCCACTCAACCTGCTATTGAAAGTGTTAAACCACAGGTTTCGTTTTAACCCAAATACCAGGGTACTAAGCCATGCAGAGGGAAGCAATAAACATCAGCTACTTCAGCTTCCTTCTCTCGTAAAAGCTTCACATCGCTTCATCACATAATCATACTGTTCATGTACCAAACAGCAGGATATTAATCCTCCTAAAATGCACACAGAGGTACACCAAAACACCAGACCCGGACCTCTCTCAGAAGTCAAGTGTTGAAACCTGTTTTAAATGTTTACAAGTAATTGAATGTCCCAGTGGAAATCAAAACATTTACAGGCCGATAAGCATCATTTGACATCATTTGATAAAAATTAAGATTTCACACAAATCACTTAAGTGTTCGAGAGCAGTCATTATCTCAGTTCTGTTTCACACATGCAAAATAGGTTATAAGCTGCAATTAATTGAATGTGAAATTTACTCACAATTTAGCCCCAAAATTGAGAATGGACTATTGTAAACCGTGAAAAGTGCAATTCCAAATTTAACTTTCCCTTCTTAAACACAGGCTAGCGAATAGCTACTGTTCTATTAAACCTGTTTGGATGACTAACACTGGCATAATACCTTCCAAAGGAAACCATTCTTTACCATTTAAGAATTCAAGAAAATTACTTCCTGAGAAAAAAACAAGGGCAGAGACATCAATGTAGTAAGTGAGGAAAAGCAGTATTGTACCCTTTTTAGTAATAAAAAAAATAACCTGTGCTTACACTGACCAACAGGGGGCGACATGCATTGTAATTCTCTTATCGGCACACTAGGTGGCTCTTGTACAATAGGAATTTGAGCCAGTCCACAAAATGTCTCCCACACTTCCAGCTCAGACAAACTACTTCGCAGATTAACCCTGACTTCTCAAAATGCTGTATCAGGGGACTTGGACAAGTAAGAGACTGCGATCAGGTCATTTCAGCAAGATCATCACCATTCCCCAATGCAGAGCAACTGCAGAGCACACGTGATAACATAAGGTTTTGTTATGTAATCAGGTGTTATGTATTCAGCGTGCAAGAGTGTGTGTTTTATTTTGTTTTATGCTGCAATTGACTTCATATTTCTAGAAGTCCATTCTTTTTTTTTTTTCGGGAGTGGTCTGCGTGGTCCAATCATAGCTTGCCCATCGAAGCTATCAGCCAATCACGTCGTCTCTTCAGTGGAGGCACCTGGCTCCTCCCCTTCCTCCTCTGCAGCCTCTGAGATGGAGGCGTGTCCCTGTAGCTCCTCCCCTCTCCCTGCCCTAGACAGAACCTCCATCCAGCGCCGTTGAAGCTCCTCCCCCTCGGCGCTGAAGTAGAGGGTCAGGTGACTCTGGCTGATCTTAAAGGCAAAGCGCCGCTCCAGCCTGTCTCCGGGCTCCGGCAGGGAGATCTCGAACCCGATCAGAGGCACGCTGCGCTGGGCTTTCACATCCTGGGGAGGAAGGGGGGAGACAGAGAGAAGGTGGGTGCAGGAAAGGAAGAGTAGGAAGAGCAGAGTAAGGAAGACTAAAGCTTCTGCATTAAAACACACTGTTCACATGTGCCCAATACACATGTAGGCAACCGATCTCAACACTGAAACACCAGTGTCTTGACCAGGTTACAGTGACGTCACGGTAGAAGATGTTAAAAAAAACATTCAAAGCCCATGGGGGTGGCTCCCTCTCACCTGTGGTGCCCCGTAGATGTAGAGGACAAGCGGCTCGTTTTCGGGGATGACGAACCAGGCCTTCTGCCAGCCCCTGCCGGAGCCCTTCTCCATGTGGTGGAGGAAGCTGCACAACACGCTGTTCTCCGCCACCACTGAGGCCTGTTTCTGCGCACAGAGAGGGAGGGAGGACAGGGGCCGCGTCACACCATGCAGCCCGGCCCTCAGGGGTGAAAGGCAGCTGCTGGTCAATTTCTGGGGGCTTCCAGCTGGCTCAAGCAGTACGAGGACAGACGGTATAGTCCAGACATGATGGGATGGAGTTGTGGCAACCCACTGTGACTGTGATTCCACAGGCCGTGCACAGCTGGCCACTAACCCACTGTGACTGTGATTCCACAGGCCTCCACAGCTGACCACTAACACACTATGATTGGTATTCCTCAGATCGTGCACTACTGGCCACTGACCCACTGTGACTGGGATTCCACAGG